AAAAACACCTTGACGCCTTTGACGATGAGCCTGCTGATTCTGCACCTCGTCTCGGGTTCACCCTCTCCTCTCGTCTCTGAGGCCGTCTCGCGGCCGCGTCGCGTGCGGCGCGGGCCGCGGTGCGCGTGTCTCTCACACACACAGACTCCGAGAAGAGAGAAGAAGCGCTCCAAGGCCGCACAGCCACAGGCGGCGGCGCAGAAGGCTGCGGCGGCGACAGCCGCTGCAGAGGCGGCTGCTCAGGCGGCCGCTCAGGCCGCTCAGGCGGCCACTCTCGGACGGTACATACAGGTTGGTCACCGCTTGGTTCTACCCTCGCGGCGACTGGTACACCCTCTACTGGGACGGCAGCACGGCCGAGAAGGTCGCACGGCGCGCTGTCTTCCCGACGCTCGAGCACGACGACCACGACCCCGGCCTCCTCGCAGAGCAGCGCATCAGGCGCGACAAGCGCGAGCGGTCCGACCGCTCCTCCGACTCCTCCTCCTCCAGGAGCCGGAGGAGAGGAGCGCGCGAGAGCATGGACCGAGACGTCGAGATTCGATCCGGCAGCCACTCGGCCACCGAAGGGCACGATTCCAGCTGTGCTGTTGGTACAGGTTGAGATGTGCAGAGCTGGCTCATAAAGCGGGTGTTGTTGAGGTGGTTGTGCTGCCATATCACAAACACAACAGCGAGAGACCGCAACGACAGTCAGAAGCCAGCGCTGGGTACTGGGCTATCACCTGGACCTATCAACAGGCGCCTGCGGCGCCGTGCTCAGGAGCTGCTGCTCCAACCTGGGCAGACTTTGGTACGGCACAGTACCAGGAAGGCGAATCACTGACTTCACCCATGGATTGCTCCTTTGCCGCGCTGCGGCCGCGGGAGTACGTCGCGCACAAATTTGCCGCACCGCCACATCTCGACGGCAACCTGCGCGAGGCGGCCTGGGAGCACGTGCCGTGGACAAGCGATTTTGTTGACATCTCGACGCCGACTCTGCCGTGGCTTCACACCCGCGCCAAACTTGCGTGGGACGACCGCTTCCTGTACGTCGGCGCCGAGCTGGAGGATCCGCAGCTCTGGGCGACGCTCCGGCGCCACGACGAGGTGATCTTCCACGACAACGATTTTGAGATTTTTGTGGACGCGAACGCCACAACGCACGGCTACAAGGAGTTCGAGATGAATGCCTACAACGCCACGTGGGACCTCATGCTTTCTCGCCCGTACGGCGACGGTGGCGGCGAGATCTCCTGCCGGGTCTCGCCCGCGCCCTGCTTCGACATGCAGCCACCTCGCGGCCATGCTGGCCTCGGCTGCATCTCGGCTGTAGCTCGGCGATGACACGGCTGTAGGCAGCCTCCGCTCGCCTCTGCGGTCCAGCTGAACGGCTCCCTCAACCAGCCGGCCGGCCCTCCGGACGGTGAGACACACACACACACACACGCGCGCGCGCGCGCGCGCGCGCGCACACACACACACACACACACACACACACTTTTAGTGCCACTGCCTCATGCCGCTCTCGCCGTTCTCGCCGTTCTCACCAACCGCCAGCCCCCGCCAGCCCGCCACCCTGCCTCGCGCCGCCCTCCCCAACACCTCCCACACACCTCCCCGGGGTCCGTCTCGCGCAGGCGGCTGGTCGGTCGAAGTGGCTCTTCCCCTCGACGGCCTGATGGCGCACAACGCAGGCGCCGACACTGCGCCGCGCGAGCGTGTCGCTTATCCACGCCCACGGGTG